TAAATAATAATAATAATTTCAATATAATATATTTAGCACTTACTCTGCCCGAGATGTACTCGCTTCATCCATGGATAGATCTGTGGTGGATTCTTCTTGCCGTTGCCGCTGTTCTGGCTGCTGCCCGCCTCGTTGCCGCTGTCGCTCTCCGAGTCGGAGTCGCCGCCCGGACTGTGCATGGGCACGTTGACGTTGACGGGGCCACCACCGCCTCCTCCGCCACCGCCGCCGCCGCCACTGCCGCCGCTGTGGTTGTTGTTGAGACTGACGGCGGCGGCGGCGGCGGCCAAACTGCCGCCGAGGACGCCTTTGTTGAGGGAACGGGCTACGCTCTCCACCACGGAGCTGGGCGACAGCTTGGGCGAGATGTCGCGCGTGGAGAGATCCTGCGGGCTGGCCAGCGATTGGTTGTTGTTGTTGCTGTTGGCGCTGCTGTTGTTGTTGTTGTTGTTGCCAACGGGCGTCGACGGATCGTTGGCATACTTACAGCTGATGCTCGCCTGCTGCTGCTGCTGCTGTTGTTGCGGGAGTTGTTGCTGCTGCGGCAACTGCTGCTGCTGCTGCTGCTGTTGCTGTTGCTGTGCCACAGCGGCAGCCGTCGCATGAGCGTGCTGCTGCTGCTGTTGCTGTTGCTGCTGCTGCAGCAGCAAGCGCTGCGGCTGCAGCTGTGTGTAGTCCACCATGTCGGGATTGGACTGTCCGCCGCCCGGCGCACCGCCGCCGCCGCCCAGCCCATAGGCCGCCTGGTTTGCATAGTGCGCCTGCGGTGTGTTTGGATACAAGTTGGGCGTGTACGCGGCCGCCGCTGGAAAGTAATCGTTGCTGCCCGGCGTCGCGGCGCCGGAGTTGCCCTGTCCGTTCGCTCCGCCCGCGCCGCTGTTGCCGCCGCTGCCATTGGCGCCCGGATGGCTCTGCTGCGGATTCATCTGCTGCGGATAGCAGGAGGCCAGCGAGTTGACAAACTGGTACGAGGACATGGCAAAGCAGTCGGGATCCATTTTGTGGCCGGCACAACGCTACGATTCGTATCTGAAATGAAATGCAAGCGGTTAATCCAACAGTACCACGTCGCACCAACAGCCGGCCAGATGCCCGCCACAGATTGCACAGAAAAGGCTTAAGGTCTAGTCTACCAAATCCCCGCCCACTGCAGATCCCCATGCGCGATCAGTTATGCAGCTGGCAGAGCTTCTGTGCTCACCCAGCCTAGCCACATATTAGCATTATTTGCAGACGAAAGTACGCTTAAAATTAGGCATAATCTTGAGAAATAATCTGGTTTTGAATTAAGCAGCAAACTGCGCACATATAGGCGCCTGGCAAGCCCAGGACAGACTCGAAACGTCTAAGGCGTAAGCTGCTCTGCCTGCAGAGCCATGGATCGAATCTGCCCGCTCTATCCTCGACACACATCGCTGTATACCCTTGACACTTCCAAACCTCAGATTGCTGAGAATTGCAATCGGAAGGTAATGCGAGTGTAGGCTAATAAATTAAAATAATATTACAATTTTTAATATTTATTTTAATTATTTATTTATTT